CGTTCACATCTAGTAAGAATTTAGCTGTTTAATGTTGAGGTGTCTGCGTCAGGAACGCACACAGCCTCTCCGGGGATTGGAAAGTGCCAGCCCCTGACCCGTGTACAGGTGGGGTCTCTCCTCCCACCTGGACGGCTCCAGAGCTTCCACCCCAGTGAAGGACTGCTGTGCTGGTCCCTCACTGACAAGGCCAGCCCACCCGGCTCTTGACAGTCTGTCGTGTTCAGTGCTGCCGGACCGGTTGGCCTGCAGTCCTGTCCTGAGCAGAGTCTGGGCGGCCGTCTGCCCAGGGGCCGACCGGCCGCTCTTGGGGTCTGGTTCCCATGCGGTCCCTCTTGTGTGTTAGGGCCCAAACTCTTGGTCAAGGGCAAAGCTTGGCACCTTGGCAGCCATTCAAGAAGGACCCCAGCACCTCCTTGGCGACCTTCCCAGCTCAGCCTATACACTGGGCCTCCTTTCGGGAGGGTGCAGATCTGTACCCCGTGGACCCAGGATGGGGCTCGATTGGAAGGAGCAGGAAGGAGACAGTACTGGGCAGCAGTTGGCTGGCCCATGGCCCCTCAGAGCCGCTGCTTCTTCCCAGACCCAGACCACAGGACCAGCTTTCTGTTTCCAGACCCAAAGTAGCCAAATTGTCCAGTGCAGAAGAGGCCTGGCCGTTTGGGTTGACCTCTGCTGGACAGAGCTTTGCTGTGCCTACGAGTGGGCCCGTGCTTGCTGTCTGACTAGGCTGGCGGGCTCTCTGCCCTCTTGGCCCCCAGAGACGGGCACATGGTCACATGGTGACCGCCACACCATTCAGCTTGGTTGTGAGTTCAAGTGCAGATAGTGTTTGGGGTATTTCATGGGGTAAGTGGAAGAGAACATCGAAGCCCTTTTCCAGAGTCTGCAGAGGAGGAGTATTGGTACATGGTTAGTTACCCTGACGTCTGGCCAGCATGGGCCTGATGTCCCACCATAACACACGCAGCCAAACTGCCTGGAGACTCCTGAGCTGACTGTCTGCCCCAGAGCTCCTGTTTCCTTCCGCCCTTTCCTGCTGCTGCGGTTTGGGACCTACTGGGGTGCAGGGTTTTCCCGCCAGCCTCCACAGAGGCCCCACTGAGCCAGGGCGTGAGTGGTAGAAATGGGTCCCATGTCTGAGCAGGACCGGAAGGGAACCTTAACGGAAAGTAAGTCACCATTGTCCCCGCCCCCGCTGGGCTCCCATTTCTTGACCTGCCATTTCCCATAAAAAGCCTGCTGGGATGTTTGTGAGTGCGGGAAAGTGTCCCCCCACCCCCACCCGCCCCATCACCTCCGAGGCCCTGAGATGGGAGCACCACGGGCCACGTGCTCTTCCTGTTGAGGTGTTGACATTGTAGGCGGTAGCACTGTGAATGGGAGGTTTGGAGCTGTTCCCCTTAGGAGCCATATCACTAGGCTCACCTGTAGGTGTCCCCCATCTTCCCTTGTTTGTCACCGACCCAAGATCATCATCTCTTAAAAGGGGGCCTAGAGCCCCGCTCTGCCCATAGGCAATGACCCAGACTGGGCTGTGTGCTCAGAGACGGACAGGAATTGGCGAGCGCAGTTCTTAGCCATGGAGAGCAGCTACGTGTGTGCCTGCGCAGACCTGTGATTGTATGTATGTCTCCGTATGCAAATGTGCAAGGCTACCGAGGATGGCTGAGGCAGTTCTCAGAATTCGGCTTTTCTTAGCTGGCCACGTGGAGTTGGCTGCATGGCTGAGACATCTAGGAACCGTGTCATTGCTCGTTAAAATCCTGAGAAAAGGGTCCGCCTTTCCAGCTCTCTGCACAAGGAATTAAAACTCTATCAAGTTCCTAGAAGTCTGTGGCAAGCAGCAGTCATCAATCCAGATGTTGTTGAAAATGTTAATTTGGCAGGTCTGTTTGCAGTGGGGGTGTTGTTTTCCTGCCGACACTTTGAACACAGACTTGAATGAAACCAGGGCGATGTCCTTCTGCATGCCTTCCCCAGAAACGTGCCTCCCCTCCCCGCTGCCCCACTGTGGGCTGCCAGTGCCCGCGTCTCCTGCCCTGTCCTATTTTTGCCAGCAAATGGATCCGGAGGATGAATGAAGCTGACCCTTCCAGACACCCCAAATGTAGCATCAGAAGGCCCTGCTTCTTAGAGGACCCCCACCGCACCCAGCCCCCCCCATTGCAGATGTCACTTCCAAGGCCCTGGGGCCCAAGGGCAGCTTCTCCCGGGGGAGCTGCAATGAGCCCTTGTTGTGGGTTCTTTTGGAACAGACTCTGACGAAGCTTTCTTCGGTGGGGGTGGGGCGGTGTCTCTGGTATTGTGGGGAGTGGAGTTCAGATACTGTGAGCACCTTCCTAGTCCTCACTTTCCGTTGTGTCCTTCCCTCTGCAGTGAGCCCTTGAAGCCTTGGCTCCCGGTTAGGGTGACTGTGGGGTGGTTCTTTGTGGGGGGCAGGGGGCAGCAGCAGGGGAGCTGCCTTGCTGGAGAGCTCAGGAGGCCTGTGCTGCTGCTGCTGGCCTGGAAGATTCAGGGGTCACTTTCCCCCGTGCACCCGTCACTTTCAATGCAGTCGAAGGAACCCCCTCCCCTCCCCCGAGTGCTTCTGGGAGCACCTGGCCCTGTACAGTCCCTGCTGTTTCCCGGTGCAAACTGGGTGGTGACCACTGGTGCTGGAGGATCGTGGCCGTCATGGATGCAGGTGGTTGAGCTCTGAGCTGAGTGGGGCCCCCTGTCCACGCTCGCCGCTACGCGCTACGGTGCAGTGCCAGTCAGCAGGCTGTGCGCTCCTGCCACGCAGCCACCACCATCCCCCCGACGTGGGGAGCCAGCGAGGCTGTGAGGGGCACGTCCCGGAGCCCTGACCTGGACCTGACTGTCCGCTTCCAAGAAGAGAGGGAAGGACTGACATGCGATATGTATTTAAAATTTTTTAAACTGCTGCAAACGTTGTGTATCTGAATTAAAGGGAAATAACACCACATGCTGCTGTGCGAAGCATGCTTGCTCCTGGAGAACCCCTGCCAGGGACGCTGGCCCGTGCCCGGGGTGAGGGAGCGGGCTGGGTGCGGGCTGACCGGGTGTGTCCAAGAGGGCCCCACAGATGTGAGCCACTTGGGACGTTGCGATCAGGCCATCCCAGGGCCACGTGGCTTGGGCATTGTATCTGGCTCCGCGTGTGTCCGGGGCCCTGCAGGGTCATCAGGGCTGGCGCAGGGCTAGGGCCCTCACGTGGGCTGGGACCTGGCCGCTGAGCTCCCCTCAGGGCCCTGTCGGCAACCAAGCTCCTGGCCTGCCTATTTGCACTTTGAAGTCTCACCTCGGAAGGCCTCATAGGTCCCCAAAGTCTTGCCTACTCCGCTGACTGGGGAGCCGCACTTCTTAGCTCTGGGTGGGCCCCTCCTTGGGAGCCGTGGCAGTGGGTGTTGTAATCTTGGAGTGCAGCTGTCCTACCCCCAGCCTGCACTGACCACATCTCCAGGCTGATCTGGCAGGGTACCACGTCTGTGTTCACTCCAGTCCCGTGGGTTCCTGCCTATCAGCAGTGTGGCCCCACATACTGCACCACAGTGGGTTCCAGACAGACAACACAGGCACCTTAGTCCCTGCCCTCAGGGTGGCAGTGTGGCCGAATGCACAGACCTCCCCAGGCTCCGTGGCAGCCCCACGCACCGCCTTGCCCTGCACTGGGACCATGCTGGAGCACTGGACAGCAGGTGCTGGCTCCTCATTCCAGCGGCCCTACACATTTGATGGGGCGACTTCAGCTCCCTATATCTGACTGCTCAGTGATCCAGTTCCAAGGCCTCTGACGGGCCCTGTGAGCTTCCAAGACTCTCTCCCCCTTCCTGGTCCAAGTACAGACACTGCCTGGGGCACCTGAGTGCACCTGGCCTACTGTTCTTTCCAGAAAGAAGGGTCCCAGAGCCTCTGGTGTGAGTGGATTTGCTGTTGCCCACACCCCTGTAGCAGAGGTGCCCTCCTCTGAGCCTCTGGAGCTCTGCCCGGCATGATGGAGGCATCTGGCCTTGCCCCCTAGGCAGCCTGGTGGGACGCAACACCGTGGGAGGAAGCATTCTACCTGGGCCGCTGGGCGCAGACGTGGTCCTGCTTTATGGCATCCCCACAACTCCTCTTGGAAAGCCATGAGCACGTTTCCTGCAGTTTCCACTGATCTAGGCTTCAACAGCCCGGCCCCTGTCTGCCTGGATTTCACTTCCCCACCAGCCTCCCAAGCAGGAAACCTGGAGGCCACTCCCAATGGCCTGCTCCTTGCCGGCCATGTCCTCTAGGGAGCTTGGGACTCCCAGGCCAAGGGGCACTTGGGATGTGGCTGGGCCCAGGGGAGCCACTGGTACAGGGTTGGGGCCTGCCCACCGAGGCAGAGGGCTGACAGGTAAGGGTCTGGGCTCCCCAGGGATGTAGGGAAAAGGGCAATGGTACTAGCCTGGTGAGCCGGGCCTGTAGCACCCCGCCACCGCCCCACCACACACACACACACAACACACCCACCCACACAGCACTGGACCGCAGCTTGGAGCTTCCTCCCACTGTGAGCTGGGCCATCTGAGGCAATCGTTGCCCCCTTCCAGTGGGGCAGCCCCCACCTTCTGGCCCCGCCCTCCAGGGCTCAACCCTGCCACCCCCATGCCCCCCCCGCCGCCGCCCCCCCATACTTCGCCACATTCCTCGAGCTTCCCTGCATTTGCCCAGGACGGAGTGTTTCCACTGCTGAACTCACCTGCCCACTGTGATGGTCTCGGCCCTTGGGTGTCCGGTCCTGGCAGGCGCTGGAGGCTTCTTGTGGGCACATCTGCTTCCTACCCTGGGCCTGCCTGGCTGGGCCCCCAGCATGCGGAGTAACTCCTACCAAGCAACAGTTCACAGGGCCCACAGCATGTGGCCACACAGGTGCCCTGGCTTCCCACTGAGGCTTGACCACCCTTCTTCCCGCAGGTGCTGCCGGATGCCCAGCCCCTGGCCCTCTGCCTCCCCATCCCTCAGAGACTGAGGCCATGCAGCTGTGCCAAGGTATGAAGCCCTTCCCAGCACAGGACAGACAGGGCCCCCCCCCACCTAGCCAAGGCTGTGCTTGGAGGCCCCCCTGAGCACTCCCCTCTTTGGGGGCTTCCAGTGCCCCCTGAAACCCGAAAAGACATTTGGACTCCAGCCTCTTGCCCGGACCCCTCGATGCACTGGCTGGAGGGAAAGCAGGACACGCCAACCCCTCCTCAAGGGCCCCTGTTTGCCGGAGCGCTGAGCACAGTGATGACTGTGTGCCAGCGGCTGCCTCTCAGCAGCAATGGGACCAGCTAGCCTGCAAGCTGGGGGCCTCGGGGCAGCAGCTTCCTGACATGGCTTCACTGTCCCCAGCCAGGCCAGCTTGCTCGTCTCTGTCCTCTTCAGTGCTCTTCTGGCCTCTCCCTCGGGCCCCCACCCCTGTCTCAGGAGGTGCCTGGAGGCAGCCCCGCTCAGCCCTGGGAGCCATGGGGGAAAGCCCTCGAGGGAGAGAGCGCTGAGAGCCTCTGCCTGAGCACTGGGAGCTTCCTGGAGGGTACAGCAGCCCTGAGCCTTCCTGGGGCTGCTGCCTGGCCAGGTAGCTGTGTCCCTGTGGCCCCAGGTGACCCCGGTGGCCCGGAGAGGAAGAAGCTCCTACAGGGAGCTGATGGCAGGGCTAGGCCTTGAACCAAGAACCCGCTGAAGGCGGGGCAGAGGCTCCTCTGTGCCCACACATGTGCCCCTGCTGCCCTCCCCCAATGCACTTCCAGTTCTGACCCAGCCTGGGCACCTCCTGCCCTTCCACCTGACAGTTCCCCATTCCAACCTCAGCTCTTGGGTGCACGGCCGGGTCTGAGGAGGACTTCTGTTAACCATGGTAAAGCCTGGACTTCAGGAGTCCCTCCCCCAGGTTCAGGCCACCGCCAGAACCCCACAAATGCCAAGCAGCCTCATTGACGGCCCATGGATACCAGAGCCTGGCTGGGCGCCTATGCCTGGGGGACGGGGTTGGAGCCTGTCCAGCAGGTGCGGCAGGCCCCTGCACATAACCCAGCTGGGGTTTTACCTTTTAACTTTGAATGTTGGTGCCTTTAGGTGGCGCTTTTTCTCCATAGTCCCATGGGTTCTGTGGCCTTGGTCTCCTGCCCTGGCAGACCCCAGGGAGCACCTCAGCCCACCCCCTGCCTGGCTTTCAAGCCCACCTTTACTCCCACCCCTCTCCCCACACTCCTCCAGGGATGGTCACGCTGTCTCCCAGCCGGCTCCCCTTTATGCTCCTGCAAGCCGGCCTTGCTGCCGATGTGAGCCTGGTTCTTTCCCGCAGCGCCCTCTGCCTTCCTGGTGAGCCAGGCCCCTGGTGAGCACCCCTGTGTCGCCATGCAGAGCTCACTTTTGTCCTGCGGTTTGCCCTCCCAGCCCGCTGATGCTGGCAATCCATGGCCCCGGCCCTCAAGACATCGGGATGAGCCTTTGTCAAGCCCTGGTGGAAACCTGCTGAGGGATGGTGAGGGTCCCACGGCCAAGGACCCCAGCCATGGCCAATAGCCACCTTGTCAGCACTGGGGGGCCTCCCAGGAGACCCCAGGAAATGCTGGGGAAATTGGCCAGGCACACAGCAGTTTGTACTGGCGATGTCCTGTGTGCCCTGCCCAGGACTGTGGGCACATAGGAGGGGTGACAGGTGTTTTTTACTGGGAGCCTGCCAGCCTGGGCTCCTTCAGGAGATAACACAGCACAGGGTCAGACACAGTTCCAAGCCAGCCCCTTGCCCACAGGCTGACTTCACCTCTCCACCCCTTGGGCTTTTCATGGGTAAAATGGGAATAACCATGAGGATCAAAGTGGGAGATATTATCTATAGCTCCTTTTTTTAAAATTTTTTTTAAAGATTTTATTTATTTTTTTGACAGAGATCACAAGTAGGCAGAAAAACAGGCAGAGAGAGAAGGAAGCAGGCTCCCCACTGAGCGGAGAGCCCGATGCGGGGCTCGACTCCAGGACCCTGTGATCATGACCTGAGCTGAAGGCAGGGGCTTTAACCCACTGAGCCACCCAGGTGCCCCTTATCTATAGCTCTTAAAACAGTGCGCAGGATCCAGAGAATACTCAAATTATTATGTTCTCACTTTTGCAAGTATTCTGAACCCAGGATCACACAGCTACAGTAGAAAATAAAATGGCCTGGCTTGATGTAGATCCAATTGTCATGAGGGAAAAAGGGAAGAAAGACCAAAACCAAGTAGGAAGACTACAGAGAGGAGGTGATGTCAGAATAGGGCTTTGAAGAATGAGTAGGAGTTTGCCAGTAAGTCCAAAGGCCAAGTCTAGGTGATCTCTTGGGAAGAGAGGGGCTACCTGAGATTGGTCCCTTTGTTTGCTCACGTAGTTACCCAGCAAGACTTTAGCAAATCCTTTTCCGTGAGGTACTGGGGTTGCAAGGAGCACGCCACCCACTGGGCGGAAGCAGGTCAAGGGCAGATGGCGCTGAGCAGGATGAGGTTAGGGCTGTGCTGGCCTAGGATGGGAGGGACAGATAGACAGCCACCTGCTGCCTACCACTCCCTGGCCTTGAGAAGTGCCCTGACTTCTCCGCTCACCCCACATCACCAGTCCCACCTTCATGGAGGGAGACAGGCCATCCTGCCTGGCCTGGCCTTGGTGCATTTCCCATAATGAAGTAGGAGTGTGTTGGCCAGGGTCACACTGGGTGTGGAGCATGTTGTGGGTAGGCGAGGGTCAGTGTGTGTGTGTGTGTGTGTGATGCCGCGGGTCCCCCACGGCTTCTGCTCCTCTATGTCTCCCCTAGGCATCCGCCTCGCTGCCCATCCTCCTCTGCGTCTCTGCATCTCCCTCTTCATTTGCCCCGGGCCCTCGTTTTGTCCCTCCCTGACTCCCCCCATCGTGGGCCCTTCCTGGGTCCCTGGCCTGTGTGAGTGGGGCGGGGCAGGGCGGGGGGCCGTGGCCTGGTCCCCAGTCCCCAAGTCCAGGGAGCCCACTGCACGCCAGGCTCCCAGCGGGCCAGGCTGGGAGGCGGGGCCGGCGCCGGGCAGCCCGATTTGGGTCTGGCCCGCTTGCTGCAATATTGATGGCCCGTCAGGGCAGCCCTGATTCCTGCGCTTTCAGTTAAAAGGTTTCTGTTGTTGTAGCTTATGCAGTTGCTCTGTTGCTATGGAAACGTGACATCAAAATGACGTTTCCCGTTTAAAAGCTTTTAACTAAATTCCTGCCTGTCAGATGTAGGCCCCATTTTGAGCGCCGAGCTGCCTTCCAGGAGTGGGGCTCCCGCCCTGGTGTGCAGGCCACGGGCTGCCTGAGCGCCCTCTTTTAACCCCGCAGGTGCCTCCAGCATGGCGGCGGCCGAAGTGCCCGGCTACCTGGTATCCCCGCAGACGGAGAAGCACCGGCGCGCCCGCAACTGGACGGATGCCGAGATGCGCGGCCTCATGCTCGTCTGGGAGGAGTTCTTCGAGGAGCTGAAGCAGACCAAGCGCAACGCCAAGGTGTACGAGAAGATGGCCAGCAAGCTGCTGGAGATGACGGGGGAGCGCCGGCTGGGCGAGGAGATCAAGATCAAAATCACCAACATGACCTTCCAGTACAGGTGGGCTCTGCGCGCCACGTGCCTGCGCGCCCCATGCCCCGCGCCCCAGCCCTGCACTGGCCCAGCCCTGGCCCCGCATCGGCGGGCTGCCACAGGCCCCTCGGAGCTGAGTCAGGAAGGCCCTGTGTGGGCAGAGCCTGGCCGCAACACGGGGCCTGCATGAACCGCTGGCTCCTGTCGCCAAGGTGGGGAAGCTGAGGCCCAGCAGGACAGGCCGTCGCCTGGCAGCACCCCACCCGAGGCCCCTGCCCAAGCCACCCACAGGCAGCTCCCACTCGGTGAGACTGCGTGCCGGTCGCCCAGGCATGGCTCGGCTAAGTAGGGAAACTGAGGCCAGGGGTGAGAAGGAGGCTCCACTTCCAGGCCTGTAGATCTCACCTGGTGCTCACACTCTGCCTTTCTGGCAGCCACCAAGCCCAGCTGTGAGCGCAGCCAGCATGGTCCATGATTGGTGAGCCAGGTGTGTTGTCGGGCTGATGCTGGGGTACCCAGTAGGCCCCCACTCGTGGAAGGGGCCTTATTTGTGGAAAGAAGCCGTGGGGACCCAGGCCTGGCCCCACATCTGCCTCTACCCTTCCTGCTGTGGCCACCTTGCCCTGGCAGTCTGAGGGAGGCTGCTGGGTCGGGGCTGTGGGCAGGGTTCCCAGGCGGGTGCACTCTGGCACCCCGTGGGGAGATAGCCTCAGGCCCACAGGCCTAGCACCTCGGGGGTGGGGGTGGGATCCAGGCCTGTCTGCAGACAGTCACTGTGTGCAGAGGGTCCTGGGCATGGCCAGGGTCACAGGTGTGGACTGGGTCATGGCTGTGGCAAGGGTCATGGGCAGGGCTAGGGTTGTAGTCAGGCCAGAGTCCTACTGGGGGGAAGGTTGCCCCAGAGCTAGGGGCTGTGGGGGGAACTAGCAGCAGTGAGAGTGGGTGGAGGGCTTAGGGCATACTGGCAGAGGTGGACCTGTCAGTGTCCCTGAGAGGGGCGCTGTCCCCGGAGCACATGCAGGTACCCAGCAGCTCCCAGCCCCAGTGTCCTCCTGCTGCTCCTAGGGACTGCTGTGAGCAGAGGACAGAGACGTTGTCAGGGCTGGGTGTAGACAGGGCCTACAGGCTTGCCCTGGGCACCTTGAGGGGATCTGCCCTACCAACAGTAGACGGGGGGCCACCCCTTGCCCCTCCTGGCCTGCAGCTCCCAGCCCGTCTGGGGCCTGGATGCATGCAGAGGCTTCCCAGGGCCTCTGACATCCAGTTGGCCATTTTCAGTTATTAACTTTTCATGGCCCTTGAAGGAGTAGTTCCAGAGTGTGGACCTGCCGGAAGGCCCATCTCCGCCTGCAGCCCCAGCTCCCAGGCAGGCCCAGGGGCCAGAAATGAGGCAGCCACTAAGGCCACAGTCACAACATAAACAATGTTCAGTTCCAGCCACCAGCTTGAGGGCTGAGTTGTCCGTAGACATGTGTGTCCCCGTACTCCCCTCCTCCATGCACACGGCGCACCCCTCTATGCCTGGTGGGGGTTTGCCCATCTGATTCACAAATTCATGGGCTCTGATTGGTGTCTGGCCGAGTTATTAATTATTTATCCTGAGAGCCTTCTGCAGAGTCCCAGGAGAGGTGTTGTGTTCCGTTCCTGGAGATGGGGGCTGTGGGCCAAGAAGGCCATAGGAGAGGAGGGTGCAGCAGAGTTGGGGCCTGGGCCCTCCATTCGGGCTCCATTCCAGATGCTGCTGGGGGTAAGGGTTGCACACATATATAACATTATTTTCCCATTCCCTGAGGGGGAACCTGAGACCTAGAGCGGAGGAGGGACTTGCCCAAGCCTTTAACAGGCTGATGCTTTCATTGGTTGACTAGTTCTTTATCTCTTTCCTCCCATTCACACCCAGAAAGCCTCCCACAGCAAACTCTTTTCTTATTTTTTCACTATAGCTCTTTACGTATTAAGGTTGTCAAGGTAAGGAAGCCTGAGTAGCTGCATTCCTTGGAGCATGGTTTCTTGGAATACCCTTCCGGGGTCTCCTGTGTCAGAGGCAGGCCTTCCTTCATTTCTCCAAGGAGTAGCCTGGCCCATGGTCAGAACAAGCACAGGGGGGCCTCCGGAGGGGCTGGAGGGGAGCCTAGGCAAAGGCTAGATGTGGGCCCCAGGCACAGTCCTCTACTTGCTGCACCTGGAATCTGTGTAGGCCTCCAGGGTGATGGGTGGTCCTGGGGTCAGGAGACGAAGCAGCCATGCCTTTTCCTCTGTGACCTATGCCTGGCTTTTTGCTGAGGACATTCTGCTCAGTGGGTGCTGTTCCTAAGGCCAGCTCCTGCTGTGGCTGGCCTTGGCTTACTGCCCTGAGCCACAGACCCCCGTGCTGTCCAGGTGGGTCCATTTGCTGAAAGCAACTAGTTCAGATGGTCAGCTCAGTATTTCCAGTGACCAGTGTGACCAGGGGCCCATGCTGGCAGGAACCCCACATCAGGAAGCAGGAGCCATCCGGCCACAAGGGTTTCTGTAGCTTGAGGGCCTCCCTACTTGGGAGGGCCACAGACTAATGCTGGGTCAGATGGGGCAGACAGCAACTCCCCCCACCCCCCAAATTGTGGCCTCCTTCCAGGCCTGGCCAGGGCTGCCCAGCTCTCCTGTAGCTGGGTCTCCCTTCCCTGAGCTCCCAGAATTCAGCCAAGGTGCAGGGACCTACAAGGTCTGTCTGCAGGGAAGAGCAGGATGCAGGGCTGGGTAGGTGCCCAGCTCACAATGTGCAGAGCTGTGCTGTGTATGCCCATGGCCCCTGAGTCTAAGTAGGAATGGGGGATGTCAGGCCCAGCCCTGCTGCCTCCTGGTACCTTCAGTCAGGAATGTTATCTGGTCGGTTTGCTGTTTGCCAGAACTGGGCATTGTCTTATTAAATTCTCCCTAAACCTTGTGAGGAGTCTACTTTGCTCATGCCCATTTTACTGATGTGAAAATGGAGGCTCAGAGAGGTTAATGAACCTGTCTAAGGTCACACAGCAAAGTGGTGGAGATGAGCCACAGCTCAGGTCTGTTGGACACTGAAGCCTGCATTCTTTACTCTGTGGATCTCGCTTCTCAGGCGTTCTCTTTAGAAAAACACATTCCTTCTATCATGTCTTACGTTTGCTTTATATGATAGTTATCAGAAGATTTTATTCCTATGTTTGTATGATGTATTTTATTATTGCTGGTTAACTTCAAAGCAGGATTTGTTCCTTGTAGGGAGTTTAGAAACTACAGACCAGCAAGGACAGAAACAGTACAGCATAACCCCGGGCCCCGGCGCTCACAGATGACCTTACTCATGTTTGGGGTGCGTGATTCTAGTGCCCACCATGGGGTAGGTCCCCAGCCTGACTTCTTTCCCTGTCTCATGTCCCCTTGGCCCTGGAGCCTGGCCAGTTTTTCTGGGAAGGCTGTCTGGCCAAGAGTGGTTCCCTGGGGCCCCAGCGCCCCCAAGCACCCCTCAGCTGAGGGCCAGGTGGAACAGGCTGGGAGCAGCTCCGTTTCTCACCCTTGGCTCTTGTGTCTCTCGTTTCAGGAAATTAAAATGCATGACAGATAGCGAGTCCGTCCCGCCCGACTGGCCCTATTACCTAGCCATTGATAGGATTCTGGCCAAGGTCCCCGAGTCCTGTGATGGCAAACTGCCGGACGGCCAGCAGCCGGGGCCCTCCACGTCCCAGACCGAGGCGTCCCTGTCGCCGTCTGCTAAGTCCACCCCTCTGTACTTACCGTATAACCAGTGCTCCTACGAAGGCCGCTTCCAAGACGATCGCTCCGACAGCTCCTCCAGCTTACTGTCCCTTAAGTTCAGGTAGTGTGTGTCTTCCTTCCCTGCCTCCACCTCCAGCAGGGCCAGGAGCCTGGCGGCCAGAGAGGGGGCTGGGAGAGGAGAGGGGCGGCGGCTCTGGGGCGGTGGCATCCTCTGCCATCCCTGGCTGGCTGCCAAGGCCTAGGTGGTATGCAAGGGCGCCCAGGACAGGGAGGCTGCAGATGGGGGGGCCTCAAACAGGGGACCCTCAGACCAGAGGGCCTTAGATGGGAGGCCACAGACAGGGGGCCTCAGACGGGGGGCCTCAAACAGGGGGCCCTCAGACGGGGGGCCATGGGTGGGGGCCCTCAGATGGGGAGCCTCAGATGGGGGTGCCACAGATGGGGGGCCTCAGACGGGGGACCTCAGACAGGGGGCGCCTCAGAGGGGGGACCTCAGACAGGGGACCTCAGATGGGAGCGCCTCAGATGGGGAGGCATCAGATGGGGAGGCCTCAGACGGGGGGCCTCAGACGTGGGACCTCAGATGGGGGCCTCAGATGGGGGCCTTCAAATGGGGGGCCACAGATGGGGAACCACAGACGGGGTGCCACAGATGGGGCACCTCAGAAGGAAGCCTCAGACGGGGGCCTCAGAATGGGGGCCACAGACGGGGGGCCTCAGTTGGGGGCCCTCAGACGGGGGACCTCAGACAGAGGGCCTCAGATGGGGGGCCTCAGACAGGGGGAGCTCAGACAAGGGACCTCGACGGGAAGCCTCAGATTGGGGGGGGCCTCAGACGGGGGGAGCTCAGATGGGGGTGCTGCAGACAGGGGCCTCAGACAGGGAAGCCTCAAAGAGGGAGGTTTCGGACAGGCTGGTCAGACTGGGAGGCAAGAGATACTGAAGTTCAGGCTGTCATGTCCATAGTCTGGGTTCGTCTCCTGGCTCCATTACTTTCTAGCTGTGTGGAAAGTCCTTGACCTCTCTGGGCCTCAGTCTCCTTCTGTAAAATGGGGATAAATCAGCACTTAGTCTGAGGATGGCTGGGAGTGTCACGAGAGAGAAGGGTGGGGACTGGCACGTGGAGGAAGACCAAGTGCTCCCCCACCAACCCCCCAGTTTCTGGCTCCTGGGCTCCCCATCACCCCCAGCAGATCCTGACCCAGGGTCTTCCTTCTCCCTGCCCTGGCAAGGCTGGCTGGGAGGGGAATTGGGCTGAAACCCCAGAGCATGCTCCTCAGCTAAGACCAGCGGGCATGCCTGTCCCCTCTGCTGTCCTTCATAAACGTCCTGCTTGGCCAGCCCCAGCCACATAAACCTGCCCTCGGGAGGCCCACAGACAGGTGCACAGGAAGCACAGCTCCGGGGTATGGAGGCCTGGGGAACCAGAGGGACATTTGGGGCCGGCTTTCAGGGGTGATTAGGAGTTGGCTGGTTGGGGAAGAGAAGGCACAGAGCAAATTTGAGTGTGGCCCTGTTTCTTCCTCAGCTGTGGGCTGTAGGTCTGACAGATGGGGGTGAGATGAGGAGGGTCTTAGGGAGTGTGAAATCTGGGGCTGCCGCTCATTTTGTCTGGCGCCCCTTCCTTGCGGTGGATTTCTCAGCAAAGACCCCAAACAAAAATGCCTTTGTGACGGCCAGATGGAATCGGCTGGAAACTTGAGGGTTATGGCCCGGTGTTTCCATGGGCTGACCCAGTTCCCAGACCCACAGCTACCCCCAGGCACCGCACCAGGGCTGGGACATGGGAGCTGCTGTCCTGCCTCTGAGGTTGGCTGGGGCTCTGCTCAAAGCACAGGGCCCAGAGAAGGGGACTGGCCAAGGCCTTGGGGGGTCGGGTGGGAGGTGGCCCGTCAGACCAGGGTGCTCACTGCCCCCCAGCAGAGAGCACAGGCCCTGGCTGCAGCACCGGCTGCCTTTGCCTCCCTGGAACCGCCAGAGGTTCCAGTCCCCATGGGAGAAGCCACAGCGCCCCTGGCCACCCAGTCCTTCTTGTCTCTCCCCTGGTGTGGCCACTGCCCTCCCTTCCACTGAGCCCCACACCAGGCCTGTGCCCCCCCACTTGGTCCGTGGGTTTGGGGCTGCTCCTGTGGCAAGGTGTACCCTGTCCAGCCGGGCTATGGGGGTTTGGATGGCCCTGGGACCCAGGACTGGGGTCTGGGACTGCCTTGGGTCCCACAGGGTGGCGGTGCCCACAGTCCCTCCTTGCTGGCTGCCCGGGGCCACCACGGGGAGGGGTGGGGCGGTGCTGGGCACGTCAGGTGGGCAGAGCCACAACCCTGCGGCCCGCCATCCCCACGCAGCACTGTCCTTCCAGGTCGGATGAGCGGCCCGTGAAGAAGCGCAAGGTGCAGAGTGGCCACTTGCAGAAGAAGAAGCTGCGGCTGCTGGAGGCCATGTTGGAGGAGCAGCGGAGGCTGAGCCGCGCCGTGGAGGAGACGTGCCGCGAGGTGCGCCGCGTGCTGGACCAGCAGAACCTGCTGCAGGTGCAGAGCCTCCAGCTGCAGGAGCGCATGATGAGCCTGCTGGAGAAGATGATCGCTAAGTCCAGCGCATAGGGCCAGCGACACCGTGCGGGCCAGCTGCTCCAGGCCGGGGCCCGGGGTCGGGATGGACGGCCTTCCGCCCGCCCTGGGGTTGCTCTGGGGAAGGGAGGCCGCGGCTGCCAGTCTCGCTCCGGCCAGGTACTTCAGAAGAACTCCTGGCGTCTGTCCTCCAACACCATCACCGTCGGTGGTACTCGCAATGGCTTTTGATACTCTCTGTGTGATTTCTTGTGACTCCCTGGAAGCAGAGCTCATGTTCTCAGCTCACAGGGTGGTCAGTTCCAAACACGAACACAAACAGGGACAGGCCGGTGACAGCTTCATGCCTGGAGCGGAAACCCTCCCATGGGGGAGACGGCGGTCTCATCTGACTACGGGCCAAAGCCCAGAAAGCCCGCCACCCTCTCCTTGGAGCGCTGGGTCCTCCAAAGGCCTCCCCGTGAAGACACTAACAGAGCAAGGCCCGGTGCCCATGTTTCGGTTCTCTGGGCCCAGGGAGGTGGCACTGATGAGACAGAGACCTGGCCTCATGCACTCACACTCTGGCTGGGGAGGCAGCTGAGCAAGGAGGGCAAAGTCATGATAGCAGGCTGTGGTCGGCGCCGCACGAGGAGGGAAGAGCAGGGACGAGAAGGGACAAGCTCACCTCCCCGCCTCTGTTCTGTCACCAGGAGGAAAACCTTTCCAGACTGTTCTCTGCGGGCTTCCTCCTAAGTCTTGTTGGCCACTGGGGCTTTGGTTTCCCAAATGCCAGGGATGCAGGGCTCCCCACCTGGGACTGGCATATTGCTGCCCACACAGCAGGGTTCTGAGACGACCCGGCCGGTGACGTGGTTTGACTTACGATCCAGGAAAGCGCCTTCTGGGTGAAGGCAGATGTCCTGCCAGGAGTCCTTCCCAGCCATCCTGGTGTGATAGCAGCCAGCTCATCTGACGCTGCTGTGGTTGCCCAGGGGGTGTGAGGCCAGCCCCAGGCCTGGCTGCGGTGGGCAAGAGACTAGGCAGCCGTGGAGCCCAGAGCGGCCAGACGCCCCCCAGCTCGGCCACCTTGGGGGCCCCCCGGCACACACGCCAGGGACTCCAACCACACTGCTTTGGGACCAAAGGCAGTGGTGCAGTGAAGGTATGACCAGTGGTTCTGCTGAAGTGTGAACTTGCCAATTTCTGCCAAAATAGCCAGTGTTCCCACCAAGGCCAGTCTTGGCTAGCAGCACATCCGTGAACCTGTGCTGGGGAGGTGGACACGGGATAAGCCTCAGCAACTGCTGCAATGGAGACCTCAGGGGCGTCATGTGCTGCTGACCCGAGCTGGGGGCTGGTTTCAGGCTGTGCCTGAGCATCACCTAGGTGGCAACGGACTGCGGCTCTGCATGACCGTCCTGGCGCTCCTGGGGCCATGGCTGTGGTGCACCAGTGTTCCCATAGCTGCGGAAGGCCGCGGGCACATGTGTTATGTAGCAATTCTGCGTTTGTACTTAGGGGTCATTTGCACTGTTTTATTTTCCCAGCTGTCTCGCTGAGCATGGGGTCCATGCTCACTCTCTCCACATCTTGCTGAATTGGTGCTGCCACGTGCTCCATTGGGCTGGAGCAGGGCAGGCGCAGTCTGGCGGAGGTCAGTAGTGCAACTGCCCACATCGCTCCCTCCATAAACTGTATCTGTCGCGAGTCTCTGATTTCTTCTGTAGTTACAGAAGGATGTGCAGGGTGATGTGGCCATATTGGTAAACGCTAAGCTATTTGATAAGATCCAGCAAGCCACCTGTTAATACCAAAAACTGAAATCAGGAACCAGACGGACGTGCATCCTTTCACCTTTATTATTATTTAACATTGGCATTTTTAGCTAATGCATTAAGACAAAAAAAGCGGGATAAAAGAAATGAAAATTACCTTTATTTTCAGATGATATTTTTCTATTCCCAGAAAGCAGATACACAAGAGATCAAGAGCTCTTTAAACCACCCTGAACGTGTGGATTATGAGAACAGAATATTCCTCTCATAGTCATAATTGAGAACTGCAGGGAATCTATGAACAGGTTTAACCAGAACGGTCCAGGATCGACACAAAGGAAACTGTGGTTTTACTGTAAAATCTAAAACAATTCCTGAGCGTGTGTGGAAACCACATACCCCTAAACGCTCCCAAGTAGTGTCATCATTTTATTAATGTAATTCCAACAATATTCTCAGTAACATTGTGGGGTTTTGTTTTAAAATGGAAGAAAGCTTTTTGTTTTGTTTTTTAAAGTGGGCCCCACACTCAGGGCAGAACCTGACATGGGGCTTGAACTCATGACCCTGAGATCATGACCTGAGCTGAGATCACAAGTCAGGTGCTTCACCGACTGAGCTGCCCCAGCAAGCCCTGAAGAAAGTATTTGTAAGTTCAGATGAAAAAGGAATGGGGCAAGGAGTCTGAGGCCAAAGGATGGAAGGAGACCAGCCAGACCTCATGTAGCACCCAGAAGGCCGTGTCTGAACCAGAAAAACATCAAGAGACAGGAGCCCAGACGCTGCAAGGGGCGGGGGGCCCTGTTGTGAGCGGGCTGGTGCAGGGCCCCTCCATGCTCTGGGGGGGACTGAAGATGTCACCGCTTATGTTCCTGTGTACCCTCACAACCAACACTGACGCCCAACAGACGACTGTATGAGAAATTAAACCTAAGACTTAAAAATTGTACTCATTTCAAAATAACAATAAACCCATTATATGTTGACATCAACGACAACTGCCTGAAAAGTACATTTTCTCAAACAAAAGGTTTTCGCAAGAAGAGGGGCGTTGTGTTACACGCCCCCCAATCTCTGGCTGGAGAGACGGCAGCAGGCTGCCCTCAGCGCTGCCCCGAGCAGCTCCTGATTCCGTGGGCCACAGGATGTGCAACCGTCCACAGAAGATCCCACGCCGCACGGATAGGTATTTGGAAAAGAAAGGGATCTTTCGCTGACACGTGCGGGCCACTGTGCACAACCCTCCTGGAGGACTCCCCTGTCGTGCAGGCAGGTCGCCACGTTGAACTCAGTCCGTATGGTGCCCTGGGGAGCCCCGCCGCGCACTGGGCACGTGGATCCCACTGCACCGAGTCAGGCCCGTCTCTGTGCCCACGGCATGCAGACCCCCACAGAAATGCGCTCTCATCACTCTCCCGGCTGCTAACCAGCAGAGCCGTTGCCGGGGCAGGTGGTCAGGCTCGGGGCTGTGGGAGCAGCTCTTTTCCTTCTAATCTCAGCTCGAAAGCGGGAATTTTGGCTCTGGTCACCATGACCACATGAGTTGTTCTCCCGGCGGGGACGCTGTCTGTTTCCAAGAGGCACCCAAGTCCCTTCAGGTGAAAAGTGTGTTCCCGTGAAGAATGTGTCCTGCTGTCCAACAAGAGCTCCCTGGTGTCCAGCAGGAGTCCCCGCGCTGACCGACCCTGCACTAGCTGCCTTCTCCAGGACTCCGAGCCCAGACACTCACACCACATGCAGGCCTCGCCCCTGTCCGTCTCGGGTGGGCCCAGTGGGACCCCACACGCCCCCCTCAGGTCATCTACCTACTTCCTGAAGGTGTAACTAGACCTAAGCATGGTCCCATCCCCCGAATGGCTCCGGAGACGCCTTCCCTTCCAGGAGTGTGGTTTCCTGGCACATCTCGGCTTGGCTTCCGAAACACAGATGCGTCATTGAGAGCAATGGGGGACTCTCCAGCTCTGTCGATGGGGGACACCATTTGCAGCCACTGTCCCATACTGGAGCAGACCCACAGGCCCCGGGAGCAGCGGTCCCCCACAGGCCCCGGGAGCAGCGGTCCCCCACGGACCTCGTAGGGCACTAGGTCACCATCACCACCGTCTTCCCAGGCAATATCACTGCTCCGTGCCACTGCTGGTCTTCAGGGACCCCCCCACCATGTCCTGTTTATCCAGAGTGGTGACCCCACCGGTCAGGGTAGGGGAAGAGGAGGGAGCAGGTGCAGGGGCCCCAAGGTGAACCATGCATGTGTGTTGGAAGAGGAGGGAGGAGAGAATCCCGGAAATGCAGAGGTCATCTCCCCAGGAGCGCTGTGGGACTTCAGCAGCCTCCAGAGCCATGGCCACTCCCTGGGATGAGGGTGAGGGCGTGCTGGCCTCTGTGGACTGGGCAGCCACACGCACCTCATTGGACATCCTGTGGATGTTCTGACCACAGCTGCGAGTAGGCCGGGGCAGGAGAAGATTCTGGCTGACCCTCTCCAGGACAGGTGGAGGACACCCACATTTGGGAGTGGGCCACGCCGTCTTTGGCAGGTTACCACTCTCCTTTTGGAAAACAGCCTTTGGTGCCAGGCTTTCTGGCCTCAGGCGACCAGGGATCGCCTGGTCTCCAGTGAGCCCTTCCTGCGTACCCTGGTGTGCGTGTGTGACACGCTTGGGGAGTGGGCATGTGCATCTGTCTCCACACCGAGCCTCTGTGCCTGCCTTGATTAGGGTCACAGACACCTTCCCTGGGGGCCGTCCGTGGGGCCGCTCCCCTGCCAAGGGACAGATCCTTCCGGGCGCTTGGGAGTGGCACGGTGGACATCCCTGTGTGAACTGTGCTCGCTAGCAGGCGTTCTTAAAACAGACAAGACAGGTCTAGGGGAACCCAAAGTTGACCAGGAAAGTCCCCACGTTATGCTCCATGGCTCCCAGGTGAGGGAGGGGTCCAGTGTCACAGCACCGTCTATGGACAAGGCTGGCTCTCCACTGCCGAATGCTTTTGGAATCTTGTTAAAAATAAATTGCCCAGGGACCCCTGGCTGGATCAGTGGGTGGAGTGAATGTCTCTTGATCTCGGGGTTGTGAGTTCAAGCCCCACACTGGGTGGAGAGATTACTAAAAAATAAACTTTAAAAATCAACCAATAAATTGCCCCCGATGTGTGTGTCTCCATCCACAGTCTGTCTTCTGTGAGGGATGATTTCTGTTCTTGTGTCAACACATAACTGTCGTAACTACGGTAAGTCTTAAAATCTGACATTGTCCATCTTTCAACCTTGTTATTCTTTTTACAAATTACTTGAATATTTTAAGTCCTTAGCATTTCCACATAATTTTTTTAAATATAGTAAATGACACACAGTGTAAAATCTACTGTTTTAACCAGTTCTGTGAACCAGCAAGTCTGTTCCCACGGTGGCAAGCACGCCTGCCCTCCACCCTCCCTGACTGACCCTGTGTCCCCGGGGAGCAGCATCCTGCCCTTCTCCACTCCTGTCCCTTGACACCTGGTACCTGACTTTCTGCCTCCGGGCACTCGACTCTCCCAGGCCAGGCTGTCATGAGAGGGTCTCACATCTGGACGCATCTTCCATGTTCACCCGTGTGGCAGCTGGCCCACCAGCCCGC